CCATAATGAACGAGTCTCATTTTATTCTTCAATCAATTCTTCAACTTCGAAATGATAACAATAAGCTTCCCCGCGAAGAACGGGTCTCAGCTTCTTCTTTAATCAAGTCTTCCACTTTAAAAGGGTAGCAATAAACCTCCCCTTGACGAACGAGTCTCAGTTTATTCTTTAATCATGTCTTTCACTTGAAAAGGATAACAAACAAAGCTCCTCAAAAGGTAACCACTTGTATTGGGTTTTCATAACAAACCATCTCCATCACATTGAATAGATTAACCATCCGTTAAAGTAAATAACAACCTTGATAAATGGGGATAACTTCTCTGGGAATTGACAAACTACTTAAAAGAGACTATCATTTTCTGTCCAAAAGGAAATCCGGGACATACAAGCTTCTCAAATAAAAAGACCACTACTTGTTATCGGGTGATAATTCTGAGAGTATTGGAATAATGCTGATGGGAATAATTTCAACTTCCTGGGGAATTGAAAATAGATTCCTACTGAGGAGATACAATATTTTCATGGAGGTCTTCAAAAGAAGTGCAAGTCATTAATCTTGTGGAGTAAATTTATTCAAATAAAGTGGGAGTCTTCAGATGTGAAAAATAAATGCACTCTCAATCTAGGATTCAATTACCTGGAGAGATCCAATCAAAACTTATTTGTCAAAGACAAGGTTCAATCCAGAGATAAATTGGAGGGAGACAGTCAAACAAGACTCTTCCCAAGGAGAAATAAACTCAACCGGGGATTTATCCTATCCGGAGATGGACAGGAAAACTAAAGCAAAAGCTTCTCATGAAGAATAAACTAAATTGGGAATCAAGGGGGGATACACACCTTTCTGCCTATGGGTGACATTCTATTGAGAAGATTGAATACATCAATGGGGAAATAAATACACTACTTATGGACAAACACAACCAAAGTAAGTGAACTGTTGAACACCGACAAAATGTGAATGTGCATAAATGATGTAAATATGAACGAATGAATGAATAAATGTCATGTATATGCTGACAAAACTGGACCAAAAATTACACAGATGATAACATCAGGGATGACAAAACAACACCAGGGTACAACTAAGCACTCGGCCAATCTCAATAAAATGGAATCGTTACTGGAGATAAAACAAAATCTACTTGACAATGCAAAGTCCTACTAAAGGCTTACATCTCTTTTGGAAGAGGAAGATACTTCTCAGGAAGGAACCCAAAATCCAATCTTCTAACATCAATAATTGGTTGAAGGGACGACAACACGAACTCCACTTTAGTTGGGAAGGAAAAATGTCGCTTAGTTTGGAGATACCTAAATCAAGGCTTAGTTGGGATCACTGGGGAAACACCACCATCTGATAACATTTGCAACACATAACATATATCTTGACAAATTTGGATTGCCCCTGAACTAATTTTGGTGCCCCAAGTTTACTACCGATAAATTGCATGATGCACCTCATAAATAGACAACAATTCTTTGTGAATAAAACTTAATTATTAAATACCCCAAGTCACATGGTTTATAATAAGAAATCTTATTAAAAGGATTTTACAGAAAACCTGGAATCCAAAATTCCCTGGTGTCTTCAAACTCTAGGAGAGATTCGTTAAATCTTGACGTGACTGCCCCTGATTGACTGTATTTGGAACAATGGAGTCTTCAAACTTTGCCCCTAGATTACATGGCTAATAGAAGAATTTAAAAAAGAGTCTTTACACCATAAGGATTTGAAATAATTTGCCCCCAGGTTTTTCAAACTCTTCGAAAGATTTGTGGAATCTCTACATAACTGCCCCAGATTGACTGTACTTTGTATAATGGAGTCCTCAAACTTTGCCCCATAAGGGTGAACAAACTGTGAAAGCATCAGCTGGGATAGAAACCTTCCCATGCTTAAGGTCTTCAGGTAACATGCCCCTGGATATGATCATTCTTTAAAATAATTTGCCAATTACCCAACAAATTTTTAGGCCTCAAAGGGATTAAGCTCATAACTGATGTTCATATGCAAGCTTCCTTGATTCCAAACAACTGATTGCAAGCAGAAGAAGTTTATTTTGAGAATGAAAATTATAATCAACAAATATGTAAGTCTTGAAGATTTTATTAATAAGATGTCGCAAAAACTTATGAGTAAATCACTAGCTAGGACGTGACATTGATTTTTTTAATGAAATATAACAAAAGAAATATAATACCAATTCAAAAATTCATCATAACTCATGGGAGTCGGGAAACGCTATCTCGTTCAAGTACGCTTTCAAAACAAACCCTACTTCAATTAGGACTTTTCAGGGTAATAACGTGGTCTGATTCATGGTTTTCAGAAAAAAGATTTTAAGGCTCGAAGTTTATTGGTGCCCTCCCATTCTTCGTGATATTATCCAATCCTATGTTCAGTTAATTCAACATGAGTATTCATCTCTCAGGAAGGATTTTGTAATGGTTAGAAACCTAAAGCGGCTTTCGGAGTAACAATCATCCATTTTGTCTTCGTGTTTGTAGTCACACATATTTGTTCTTTGCTAAGGACTTTTCTTTGTAATATTTTTTCTCTTCCTTTTCATTCTTTCTTTTTTAATTATATTTTCCCTAACTTTTTCCTGGATTAATTCTTCTAAATTGATAGTCCAGCGGGATGTCCTAATTTTTTCCTTATTCACTTTGGCTTAGCATGCTTTTTCTTTTTCCTTTTTTGACTTTTGATTTGAACAAATTGTGTGACATTGACTTTGTCTAGACTTTGTTGAAAAGGTTCTGATTTCCTTGTTCCTCGATGGATGAGGGATAACCATTGTGGTTTCACGGCTCTTCGACCTCTTGATGCGTGAAGGATAGCCATTGTGATTGATCTTCATAAACAAATTTCTTTTTGAAATCTGAACACTCGGTCAAATTAACTGAAAAACTAACCTGCCCCAGGTTAAATAAAAAGGGTTTTTTCGTATAAAAAAACTCCTACTTCAAGGCTCAAAAGGGGTTAACAAGGGATTATTTTCCTTATATCTCTGATGTTTAGGGATTTGAAACAATTCTTGTACATCATCAGCATGGTTTTATTCAAAAGCATACGACTAGAAATTTTGCATTTTCATATCATCATCCTGATGCGTTCGCAAGTGCACGGAAATATCGAAGTAATATAAAAGATTGTCGAACCGACAAAGATCAATGTCAACCTACTGTAATCTATTGTCGCTTTGTAAAGCTAAGGCTAATGAATGATTGTATTTGGGTTTTATCAGGAATAAACTAAAGTCTAATAATTAATAATGAAACACTGGTATGTATTTTGTCAACTCAAGGGATTCAGTAAGTCATTGACATTTGTTTTTAGTATTAAAACACCGCTTCAGTGAAAACTATTTGTTTAAAGACCCTCGTCTCAAACATTCATTCTATTTAATCAAATCATATTAGTTAAGCTCAAAATGAGCGCTTCCGTTGTTTTTAAAATTAATGTTTTAATAACCACTATTTGGTTAAAACCTCAAACTTCCGCTCTGTTTATTTTAAACTTAGACTGTCTCTTACTTCGGTACAAAAACAATTAAATATTCAAATTAAAAATTAAAACCAGAAAAGTATTTTTAAAAATAATAATGCCAATTATTACCGAATCCCTTCGGTTTAAGATTTACACACTGGTATCGGGGAATTTAGCCAAACATACTTAAAGAAACAAACATGCAATTATAATTATTAACCATGAATATAGACATATTTGGATTTGTAATAATAAAACAATATTATAAGAACAATAAACTAAAATAATTGCAAATAAATAAACCTGGAATAAAACTTGAATAAAATAAATCTTGAAACTTGAATAGAGCTTTGAAATAATGCCGGCAAGATTAATCCAAACATTACAAATTATAGACCTAATACTAATGGTGTGGTAGTTCCCCAATGTGAGAAACTATCACTTTACAAAGTGATTTTTCTGCCTAAAACTTCTAACAGCGCTTCCGCACTTCGACCCTCTAAGTAGGAGTCTCAACAAGACCTTGGAGAATACCTCATAAAGGAAGGCGTAATCGAATCAACCAAGGTGTGTAAATATTCGAACGATGGTATGTCTCAAGAAAGCGTTTCATTTCTATTGTGTACATGTTCGATCTCTTGAGAGGTCCCAGGAAAGCATTGCACCCCTATGTGGTTCAAGTTTGAGGGATTGTATACATATATGTTCTATTAGGGTGTGTCATCAAGATTGAGACACGTTGTAGCCCGAATCAATAGAGTATGTCCTTTTGTAATTCCTCTAATATAATAAAGTCGAGTTGAGACGATTGATGAGTCAAATTGATCATGTCGGTTCAAACAAATACAAAGAGAATATTTGAATTAAGATACGGGAGAGAACACATTTATAACTGATTAAGAGGCAATCAAGATTGATTTCCAATTACATTAAACGATCACAGACAACCACCTTAAATGGTCTAACATATATGATAGGCTTTGAGGATGAAATGAGTTACAATTACAACTACTATATATAAGAAGATAATTTCAAAGAAAAAAGATATAGAAAATTAACAAAACGTCTCACTGAGACTTTACTTGTCCTTACTGAAAAAGTTACCGCAGAAGTACTTTACGAGTACAAATATTTTGGGTGATATCATACTAATTAAATGAAAGATACATGACAAAATAATTGTGATAAATGACCATTAAGATATTTGCACCACCATACATACGTGCCAGGGAAATGCATCTTTCAAATGTCATGTTTCATTTTTTTTTCCCAAGATAATATCTAACATAACTAGATCAAATTTATTTTAGTTTGTTTCACTTATCCATAGTCTTATCTAATTTACCATTCTTCCATTATCAAATCACAATAGCGTGATCAACAAGGGTTCCCTGAAGCTATATAAATTGAGGACCTTGATCAAGCTTCTGCATGAGCTTCATAGTTGTGTATAAGTAACATCTACCATTAAAAAAAAAATAGTTCATAGTTCTCACTTCTCACCATGGCCTCTTCAATTTTTGTGCCTTCATCCGTAAGCTCAATACCTACACTCTTTCTTCGCTTTATTACTCTCTTTGTATTTTACTATACGATTTTTTTTTTTATAAAAATATCGAATAATAAATGTATCTGATTTCTATTATATGAATTAATACAGATAATGGAAGAAGAAGCAAGATTCGAATCCGAAGTAGCAGAGGTTCAAGCATGGTGGAACTCCGAGAGATTCAAACTAACCAAAAGACCGTACTCAGCTAAAGATGTAGTTTCCTTAAGAGGAAACCTAAGACAAACCTATGCGTCAGGCGAGTTATCCAAAAAGCTATGGAATCTTCTCAAAACTCACCAAACCAACGGAACAGCATCAAGAACATTTGGTGCACTTGATCCAGTTCAAGTCACTCAAATGGCAAAACATTTAGACACGATTTACGTCTCGGGTTGGCAGTGTTCATCCACACACACATCAACAAACGAACCCGGTCCTGATCTGGCGGATTATCCTTACGACACTGTCCCCAACAAAGTTGAGCATCTTTTCTTTGCTCAGCAGTATCATGACAGAAAGCAAAGAGAAGAGAGGATGGGTATGAGACGAGAAGATCGAGCGCGGACGCCTTTTGTTGATTATTTGAGACCAATTATAGCTGATGGTGATACTGGCTTTGGCGGTACCACAGCAACTGTTAAGCTTTGTAAGCTATTCGTCGAACGCGGTGCTGCTGGTGTTCATATCGAGGATCAATCTTCTGTGACGAAGAAATGCGGTCACATGGCAGGGAAAGTCTTGGTTGCGGTTAGTGAACATATTAACAGGCTTGTTGCTGCTAGGCTTCAGTTTGATGTTATGGATGTTGAAACTGTTTTGGTAGTTAGAACCGATGCTGTTGCTGCTAATCTTATTCAATCCAATATCGATACCAGGGATCATCAGTTTATTTTGGGAGTCACGAATCAGAATATGAAGTGGAAGAGTTTAGCGTCGGTTATGGCGCAAGGGTTCGCGGCTGGCAAGACTGGACCCGAGCTTCAGGCATTGGAGGATTATTGGTTGTTGAATGCGGAACTAAAGACTTTCTCGGAAGCAGTAATGGATGCTATTAAGAATCAAAATTGTAACGAGGAGGAGAAAATGAAGAAGTTGAATGAGTGGAAGCATTGTTCGAGCTACGATAAGTGTCTTTCAATTGAGGAAGGAAGGAAAATTGCAGAGAGATTAGGTGTGAGGAGGTTGTTTTGGGATTGGGACTTACCTAGAACAAGAGAAGGGTTTTACAGGTTTAAAGGCTCTGTGGCCGCGGCTATTGTTCGCGGTTGTGCATTCGCGCCACACGCGGATCTTATATGGATGGAAACAGCGAGTCCGAATGTGGCTGAATGCACACAGTTTGCTGAAGGTGTGAGATCAAAGCATCCAGAGATGATGCTTGGTTACAATCTTTCGCCGTCGTTTAATTGGGATGCTTCTGGCATGAATGATGTGGAAATGAGAGATTTCATTCCTAAGATTGCTGAGTTAGGATATGTTTGGCAGTTCATAACTGTTGGTGGTTTGCATTGTAATGCGTTAATCACTTCAATGTTTGCTAAGGATTTTGCTAGCAGGGGAATGTTGGCTTATGTTGAAAGGATTCAAAGAGAGGAAAGGAAGAATGGTGTTGATACACTTGCTCATCAGAAATGGGCTGGTGCTAATTACTATGATAGGTATCTCAAAACTATCCAAGGAGGTGTTGCGTCAACCGCCGCAATGGGGAAAGGTAAGCCTACGAACAAATCAAAAAATTATATTGTTGTTTGTTGTAGTATCGCGATCTTTGATATTACATAGAATCGCACTAAAGTGTAACTAATATCAAAGTCGGATCATTTGTGATCATTGAGATATCTAAATATTTAATGTTGTAATAATGTTTTTTTTTGTAATAATTTTCTAATTTTAGAATTTTTTATTCTCTATGATTTTTTTTATAGGAGTCACTGAAGAGCAATTTAAGGAAACATGGACTAGGCCAGGAGCAGTGGGAATTGATGGAGATAATGGCAGCATGGTGGTTGCAAAGGCAAGAATGTGAAAGAACTAGTTGCTGATTAAAGAGTTTGGGGGAAATTTAGTAATTCACCAATTTATATACTGGATTGGAATAAAATGTGGAATGGAATAAATGTATACTATGTTTAATTAAATAGGCCACTGAATATAGGCCAAAAAAATAATTAAAATAGGCCTTTAAAACATTGCTGTATTTTTTTGGCTGCATAATTTATATTATTTGCTAGATTCTTTAAACTCTCACGCCTTATGGGCTTGGGGGAAAAGAAGACTAATTTGTGTGATTTTGTAATTTGTATTACCTCTCTATTCTTCAATATATTTTACTTCTTTTTCTTACTCCTTTTACACCTTGAATATAATAAATGTTCCTGAAGCGCTTATGTCTTCAAAATTATGCAATATTTCTTTAATGTCAAATTGCATACAAAATTATACATTAATTTGTCTCGATGAAATTTGTTCAATTGATAAAGAACGGGTCCATTATAAAAACATAAATTCAACTCTCACTTCAGATGTAAAAATGTATTCAAGTTAGGAGATGCATTATGACGGTTTATAGCCCCTAAAGCACGAGGTCTATCAGGGCAAAGTGAATAATGAAAAACACAATTGTCTAGAGACACGATAATACGAGGTTTGTTGGGGAAAAGTGATTAAAAAGTGTAATAGTCTATAATCCCTCAAACACGAGGTCTGTAGAGACGATGTGATTAAAATGTCCATTTTTTTATGTTTGAGGTTGTGTTAATTACAATCATATGATTGAAAACCTTTCAAACATCAAAACATAAGGTTCTCATTGAAGGACTTTGATCTTTCTTTTTAAAGTAGTTATGAGTGATCAAACTTCTTGGGGAATAACCATTTTTCTTGGCCTTTTGTTGTGTGCGTGTTTGTACACATATCTATTGATCTTCTGCCACAAAAATTACAGGTGTTTGGCTCGAGGATTCCATGCTTCCTATAAATCCAAGGACAAACCTTTACCATCTTCCTATAAGGCGTGTGACGAACATGGCAATGTGGTTGAAGTGGAGATCCACAAAGATAGATATCATTTATGGTTTCGTTGTGTTTAAAATTTTAATGCTAAAATTTTTGAATGCACAAATAGGAAATATTTGAGAATGACGTTTGTAGTAACTCGGCTAGTGACTCGTCTAGAGTTAGTATTGTAATTTTGGTCTATTCTTTCTCAGTACCAAAGAGAAACACATTGAGATCAATGGTGGCCTCAATAAATGCAAGCTTGAATCATTTCCATAAAGAAGTGGTGAATGTCAACTCCATATTGATCTTCAAAAAAGAGAGAGTGGAGATGTTTCATGGGGATCTAACAATCTCCTCTATTAGTGATGAAGAACACATTATTTTGGAACCATGTGTGGATAAGGAGAAACATTGCATGAGTCCGCCATATGGAGTGGCAAGAAAGTACTTCCTAATGTATGTGTGTGTATCATCAGATCTAAGGTAAAGATTCCCTTCACCTCTTTTGAATCCAAAGTCTTGAGAATAATTAACCTTTCCCCTTCCAACTTCGTCTTAACAATTAGGCCTTTGTGAATGAGTTCAAAATATTATGCGGAATTTTAGGGATTACACCTAATGTGAGCAATTTCTTCTCTTTATAAAGAAGGAAATAGGTTGATAAGGGAAATTAGATATCTAGAAACACACCATGAGTAGGTGATTGTTCTTCTTGTATTTCTCAAACTACAAGAATTGGAAAAATATTTTTTTCTAAGTACATGGTGGTGTCCATTGTCCCACATTCATATTTGACAATGAGGCAGCTCATAAGATTCCACTTTATTGGACAAGAAACCATGTATCAATCATTGGTTTTGATTATGACATGCTCACTGCGTTTGAGAAGGATGAGATTGACATACTATAGCAAATGTACGATATAAATGTTATGGATTTAAAGGATGTAGAAAGCAACCATGTGGGCCTTGGGGCTCTCTTGCCTAAGTTTAGTTTAAAACTTAGATATCGCCATTTATTTATCATGAATTTGTAATAATTATTTTATTTTTACGATGTAGAAATAATGGTTTCTGTTTTACTAGCACAAAGGATGAAATTCCTCAAGAATATCAAGCTAAAGAGGGGCGAAGAAGGAATTCATATTTTAAGGCTTCATAATCTAGCAAATCAAGGACCTCGTATGCAAAAAAAGATAAGGGCAAGGAAGGGGTACTTCATTGACAAGGATAATTCAGGTTCTTCATAAGACGTGCGTCATGTGATACCTGCGTAGGTCCAGATGGTGCCTTAGTTGTGAGATAAGAAGTTCAACATGTTGGACATATGATTCCATACAAAAGAGGGGGGTTAGTTATGGAAGTTGGAAAAAAATTTATTTTAAAAAATTCATTTGATAAATCAGAGTTTAGAACCATTTAATAAAAACAGTTGAATATGCAGCAAAAGTTTAAAGTAAATAATTGAAAAATAAAGAGATAAGAGAAGAGAAATAACACCGGAGAATTATACAGGTTCGGCGAAGAATACATAATCTTGTTCCTAATAATTGATCTTGAGAGTATCCAATATGCTTGAGAGATTTTATAAGGTTATGCCCATGAACCCTCTGATAGAAGGAAATGAAGTCTCTGGCTAACTTCTAACAAAACAACGAACACGACTTGAAGCAGTTAGTGTTCACACTGATTGAAGATTTCACATAGGATGATCTCAAACTAAGATAGAGTTTTGAGTTAGATATTCTCCAAACTAAGCCGAAATTTTATACATGTAGGCCACGAACTGGACCGAGATTTATACTAGGATGATCTCAAATCTATTGAGTTTTTATACTTGGTTGAACTGTGAAACCAAGTGTGATTTTACACAAGGTTAATATCAAAACGATAAAGTTTTTAACTAGGATAAGATCAATAATCATTGTGGAAATCTACTCTTGGTAAAATTATAATTTCTCCCTCACCCAGAACAATTATTCCCCATGTAACACCCCCTAAATCCCACACATAATATAAGGCATGAATCAGAGTAAAATCATGCATATATCAAGAGGGCGTCACATGTATTTCACGAAACAACACATAAAAACATGCATACATGTCATGATCATAACAATCATTTGAATTCATGTTCTATATACTAACATATTTGCACCTCACGGCGGAAATATTATCTTTTCATAAACTATATTAGTGATTGAAATCCCACACTGACAACCATATCATAAATATTAGGCACTAAGGCCAATCATCACATAATGTCATACATCATTAAATAAAATATTGTAATACAAAACATCTCTCAAAACAAACAAACATGATTTCTAAACATTCCATATGTTACATAGACCAGAGCAGTGACTCACTACCTAAGAAAGCGGATAAATAGTACTAGCCCCTCCGTCTAATCCTCGCTAGAAGCGCCACTAACTTCGGTACTTAAGTGATGTCGTATAAAACATCATTCCAACAGAAGGGTGAGAACTCATATCATTATGGAAATATATAATAATAAGTAATATAAAAGATGCATACATCAACTGAATTCATCATACTTCGCATAATCATATATTCAACATGCTTCAACACAATTCACATGATTACATATACAACATTTCTCAAAGCTCCAGGATTAAAAGACAAGCAATCATGAATAACACATATGTAACATTCACACCATTATCACATATTTCACACGAACTCAACATTTCACTTCGATACATGTGACTCCAATGCAACTCAATACAATATGCATGTGGTACTAAATGTTATCCTTATCAGTCTTGTCGGATCCATATCTCCAAGACAGATAACCACCAATAAAAGCTCGATTCAACCTTAAGCTTACAAACCCATCAGCGTTAGGTTTGTGACAGGTCAATAATACCCATAAAATTACCAAACATTGCCTCTTGACACAAATGATGCATGTGTAATCTCAACATAAATATGCAATTAAGACCATCTCCAAATTTTAATCATACAAGCATATTTCACATAATTCAAAACATTTGAATTATCTTCACCAAATTTCACAACATACATCAATCATGTCATCATTCACATACAATTCATTCTCATAGCATTCATCAACTCAACATAATACAATAACACATAGCAAACAATACCAAAACATATTATTCTCATTCATCATCAATTCACAACATACATATACATAAAATTCAAGTATCATGTTCATAGCATTCTCAATTCAACACATCACAATAACACATAGCAAAAAATGCCCAACAATTTTATTCTCATCCAATTTCAATTTACAACATACATCTACACAAAATTCAAGTATCATGTTCATATTAAGAAGTCATCCAAAACTTATCAATGCATTTCTTCAATAATTCATCACACGTGGAATACCACACAATTGCAAATACATGTGCATACTCATGGATTATTCACATACAATTCACTTTCATAATATTCATCAATACAATACCCCCCAGTAGCATATAATAAGTAATATTACAATGCATTACAATCCAACACCAATCACCAATGCGCATAACACATATACATGTCATTTTACACAACACAATAATGATTAAATCACATACTTCCAAAAAAATTATTTTTATTGAAAAGAATATCTCTCTAACTTTCTAACGCTTCAAATGGCACTCAAAACGAAGTTACGGTTCAAAAGATACGAATATTATAAGTTATATCTAATTTTGCAACATAATGACGGACGCCATGAGGTAACGACAAATGCCACCTGTTAAAATACCATGGTGAATGCCATGAGGGTGACGGCGAACGCCATTGCCTATGTTACCGTGCGGACAACAATTCTACAGTGCGATTTTTCCCCTATATCACCATTTTTTACCCAAGTAAGCTGCGGTTCTCTTAGTATATCACTCATACAACACAACAACATAATCACAAGCATTACTACAGAATCATACATCAAACACATGGATTCCCAAATTAAAACCTAAGTGATTCAAACATGGAAATTAGTAAAATTATTCCTAATTCATGTTGCTATCCATCACATACC